TCAGTTCCTGTGTCCCTTTATCCTTTCGAGTCGTGGATGAGGGTGCGCCAGGTAGTGTCTCCAACGTCCCCATCCTTTGCCGTTTGGTCTTCGGCGGAAGATAACATGAGTCTGAACCAGAGTCTTTCCAGAGTATTTTTGGCCTGCCTCGGTGTCTTCGGCTTGTTAGTTGTGAGTAATTAGCAGCTGCTTCGCCTTTTTTCTGAATGCATTCACAAGACGTACCAAAACAATCACAACTGTGATTTCTCAATTTTGAGGATCAATCTGGTGTTTATTATCTTGTTTAATTCTACTGTTTTTATGGGTGTATGTTTCCCTTTTACCCTTGTTTATTTCCTCTTTCATGTACTCAGGAAAACAATTTTTGATGACCTTTCTAAAGCAGTAAAGTGTAAGATTTTACTGTTTAAAGCTTTAAACCGCCATAATCAGTTTAAACTGCATCGATACTATGTAAACACATCGATTATCTATTAGCTAACTTTGAATGGTTGCTGCTTCAGACGGTGATGCAAGATCTTACCTACATAGATGAAATGTCGCGTCGTGTGGAAGACAACGGAATAGACAGTGAAGAACAATATTTTAAAGAAGGTGTGAATTCGATCAAGATGGTCAAAAATGTAAATCAGATTAATAAAGGTTCGGCGGATTTATTGCAGAATGAACAGATCATAAAAAATCGTTGGATGGTCGTAAGTAAACCAAATGTAACTCTATCATAATCAACTGCTGTACTAATTCCTGAATGTCCTTCATAATAATCATTGGGTTTTGAGGAAGCCACAAATTTTGCATTCATAATCCAACGTTGCCCAATAACAAATCGTTCGACTTATCAGGGCAAGGAAAAACACCTTATTGAACTGCTCCACGAACATTAACTCGTCAAACTGACGCAGATTTTTCAAATGTGACTCATCTCCCCGATAGCCTACCATTTTCGAATGCGAGATCAAGATAATTGTGAACAAAATCGCGATAAATAATATAGTTGCAATTAAATAATAGAAAGAAAAATGCTTTCTAAAATTCATCATATCCCTAAAATCGTCATCCAAATTATATGCCCACTTTCTTGAAAAATCTCTTTCATGCAACGCATTGAATTACATGCCTTATTTGTATTATAAGAATCACTTATTAAATCAATCTTTTGCTATGTTAGCTGTTGCTTAGCTAGGAGTATATCAATTGTCGTCAGTTGAACTCATTTAGACAGAAAAGCTTGGATCCGGGGGCTATGGACAAGTGTACAAAGCGCTTGATCTTGTAAAATGCCAAATGGTTGCCATAAAAATAGAATCAAAAGATGGTGCTTCATCCATGATGGTACTGGAAGGCAACGTGCTTCGGCGTTTTCAGGGTATTTGCTCCATTTTTGTACCTGACAATTTGGTCATGTGACACTTGTAAGTATAGACAGCAGGCATTGTCCGCGTTTCATTGCTTGCGGCCACTTTGGAAATAGAATCTTCATCGTCATGCAGCTTCTTGGATCCAGTCTGTCAAATCTGCGACGTTTGCAGCCGGGCCACAAGTTTACCATTGGAACCACTGCTCGCGTAGCCGTCGAAGCCATCGAAGCTATTAGAGACCTTCACGCCATTGGCTACGTTCACAGGGATGTAAAACCAGTAAGCGAAACATCACTGATTATTTATGCTCAGAGTCTCTTTCATAGACCAAATATAAAAATTTACTTCATATATGAACGTACGCAAAATATATCAAAAACATGGCAAGAAACTATGATCCGTTTTGTCGTCACATTTCACAAAATGATGGTTGAAAAATAGCAGATGTAAGGTTGAAACGTTTTAACCAGAACGGTAAATGTCGCAAACTGGGACTGGCGAAATTTATGCATGATTACCGATAATCAGTGATAATGCGTTTAACAATTCAGCATAAAATTGCAGGAAGGTATGATTATTACTTGGCCTCCCCATTTACAGAACTGTCAAGTTTTCATTCAAATCTGTAAATTCAGGTCTTTTTTCATTTCTGCTTCGACGTAAAAAGTTTCTTTGAGTTGTTCCTTCAATGATTGTTGTCAAAATATAACGATCTCTTTAATTTATATTAAAAATAGTGATGGTCCCGGATTGAAACGATGAAAAAGGAAAACGAATTTCTCACTTTACACCAGTTGCTCCATTGCACCGCCTCTTTGTTTCTACACGTCTAGAGGGACCATTTAGGAAAGCCATGACTCCATGCTATTTTAAGCATCTGCAGTATATAGGACGCAGGACTGCGTCTCAAACTTGGGTTGAACAAAAGTTTATTCAGTCAAACAAGATTTCACGATCCATAGGCGAATAAGAGACCATCTATAACCCATGACCTGCCTAAATGGTTCCTTAGGCGTTTAATAACAAGGGGCGGTGAAACAGTGCGCTGATGTAAAATGAGAAAAAGATTTTCTTTCTTTACCCTGTACATTTCCGCCGTTTCAGTATTATCATATTATTATCATTTTTATTGTGACATATTCAGCGGCGGAGTCGAAAGCTCGCAAAGGACATCGTTGTTATATTCTATCTCTTGAATTCATAAATGAAACATATGAACTTCATCAGAACCACATACCCTTACAATTGCTCAAATTTGCATATGAAACATCTTCATTATGGTTGTTATAATCTTCTTCATCGTCTTGTCCTTCTAGCAGTACGTCATAGGGGGTTATCAGGCAAAGCCTGATAATCAGTCCACTGGGAATGGCCGCAAATCATGCTTATCAAATCTACATCGAGTTGATTT